TCCAGATGTGTGTAATTTAAATTTAGTATAAATATAGTTAGTTATAGTTAAGTATAGCAGGCAACTCTCATAAAGCACCGATCAATCCATCAACCAAAGCCTACAAGAATACGGTACAACTGCAAAGCAAAAGGCCTGTGGAAACATTTCAGACATCCACAGCTCAGGTTATACGTCACACTCTCCACAAATCTGACTTTTATGAAAGAATTAAGAAAGACAGTTATTTTTTTTTTTTTTAACAAATGCCATAAAGCATTTAGGGGACAGAGCCAACATGTTGAAGAAAGGGTTTTGGCTACATGACAACAAAATGAATTTCTTTGGCTCAATATCATCAGATGTACATGATTACTACTGTTCAGCATCGTGGGGGCAGCTGTAGGAGCTTAAACCAGAAGAAACACTGTTAGAAGCTACAATTAAATTGTTTAGATCATTTAGATCAAAGGATGTTCACGAGCTAGAAAGGTCTCATTGAAGTCCAGACATAAATTCAAATAAGAATCTATTGCAAAACCTCAAGTTTTATGTCCATATGTGTCTTCCAATCTGACTGTGCTTGAGCTGCTTTATGATAAATAAAAATGGGCATCACTGTTTCTGTCAGAAAATATATAAACAAAAGGAGAGGGGGTGCACACATATGACATGTAAATAATTAAAATTAAAAAACAAATGGAATTGCACAAATTCAGGACATTTTACCACAATGATTTATTTATTTTTTCTTAACTTTAGCTAAGGCTCGAGCATTTACATTTAACTATTTCTTTGTAATACCTTTTCGGACCACCAAACATAAAATATCAAAAATGGGCAAAGGTGGCATTTGCCCATTTATCTCCAAAAACTGAGATAACAGCAAAATTGATACATATTCCACTTCACACTTATGTTACTCTATAACATAAAATTCTAATAGCATGCACTGACATATGTAGCTGTAACTTGATAAAACATGAAAAAGTTCCAGGAATATTAACACTTTTGAAAAACTCTAATGCCAAGATGAGCCAAAGAAACGCGTCTCTGGATGTTAGTGCAAATTCTATGAAAAGCATCATAACTGCTAAGGTGGCATTTAAACGTCTGATGTCATTCAGACAACGATTTAACCGCCAGATCCATAAAACACTTACACTATCACGTATAGGTCAATAAATTAGAACATTCAGCTGACAAGTGAAGTCACATCAGTACTGAAGCTCAGAGTAATGAGTAGGAGGGATAAACTCTGGTCACAGCTGCTCTTTGTTGGTTTGGGGGTTCAAATGGGAGACAGCTTCATAACTGCCATGGCCAGTTCTCCTCATGTTGGCAAAATGTGCTTATCCACACTGACATGTTGATGCCAGTGGATAAAGCCATCAAAATCCCTGCTCTGCTTCAGAGGTGGCCAGCAGGGTTTTACAAGCGAGTCATCATGGGATTAATCGTCAAGCCGCAGAAATAAAAGTAACTCGTAGGAAGATGGAAAATGGAACTGCAATATTTTATGGAAGTGCTGCTACATTCATCGGAAAGGTTGTGGGCCCAAAAGGATTTAACTGGTTGGTTGATTCCTTTTACTGACGCAAAAAGATCCAAACTAAACAGAAACTTGGCAAAAATTGGTAGCACTGTCAGCCCTTAAAGCTATCTAAATTCATTAGGAATAAATGTTGCTATCATGAGAGCAAAGAATCTTCCCATTCACGTCACACTGCAAACATATGTGTTCAGTTCAGTTGTCTTTTTAAATTAATATCATGTGAAGCAGCTTTATTTTCTTCTGCTATTTTATCGCTACAGTGAACAACTTTAATGTTTAGATTTAAAATGTGGTTTTCTTCTGGATTAAACAGGTAAAAACTTTATCAGAGAAAGCTGGTGACAAGTGAAGACTTCACAGTTCATACAATAACGACAGGCGCGTAACAAAAGTATGTTTTTATCTTTTTTAAAATCTTTTTTTTCCAAAATCTCTTTCTCTTTCTTACTGTTTATTCAATGTCACATGCTGTTTTTGTTTTTTAATTATGTAAAGCACCTTGAAATGCCTTGCTGCTGAAATGTGCTATACAAATAAAATCTGATTGATTGATTGATTGATTGATTGATTGATTGATTGATTGATTGATTGATTGATTGATTGATTGATTGATTGATTAGTTTCATACGCTGGCAGTACATTGGTAATTGCTGGAAGAATACTTATTATGATTGCTATTAATTGCCAGAATTAAAGTAACGTTGTTAATAAGTAATAGAGAATTTCATATGTATTTTTCACTGATAGGGTCTGATGGTGAACATTGGGGTTACATAGAATCAGACATGATCTGATCTGCAACAAAGCTAAATGTTCCAGACAATCAACCAACTTATTAAGTGTATTAATTACTGAGGTTGACTGTAGAAGAGGCGAATAAAAGGTCAAACAAATCTACGATAGTGTACTCTTCAAGTTCACCGATATTGTAACATCAAAGGTGACTTTGAATTGAACTTCTTCCTAATACTTCTTATTATTGTTTTTTTTTTTTTCGTTTGTTTATTGTTTAACAAAATAACTAGAATTTATTCAAACAAATACCAATATGAGACTCTTTTCAGGAGATAAGTGAAGAGATTGCACAACAAAAAACAAAAAAGAGATCACAATTCTTCAAGAAACAATTTGCTAGAGTTTAAAACTTTAATTCTCTAACTTCCTGCAATAACTAACTGTACTGCAGAGCTACCAATTGTGTGCATGTAAACAAGAACAATAAAAGGCTGTTTAGTGTAAGCTCTGCTGTCATGTATGTATTTTTTTAACAACCAATTTTATTTTCATAAAAAAAATCTATCCACATTTTTAACACTATTGTGCCCTTTTCATTTATATATACCCATCATATTTCCTGATAATATATATTCTGATGAGAGAAAATACCATACTTCCAGTATAAGAAATCTGACCACTGAAGTTTTTCAAATGTTTCTGCACAGATTGTTTAGATCATTTCTATTTTATCATGTATTTCATTGTATCTTGCTTTTTCAAAAAAAAAAAAAAGAAAAGAAAAAAAAAAAAAAGGTGCCAAATATCCTTAAAAATGGGGCTTTCCGCATAGATTGGAGATACGGCCTAGGAGACGGCAGGTGTTTGACAAATTAAATATATTTACGTTCACAAAGCCTCATGAAACAAGTTGAAAGATAGGTGACAGAATGTCGCCCTCTGCTGGTTAAAATCTAGCACATCATTTACAGTAAAAACATTTTTAAGCAAATATATTTTAAACTTGGAGAAATTTTTTTTTTACAAACTCAACAATATAGGAAAAACTTTAAAAATAAAATAAAGTAAAACAGTAACATATTCCTTTGCTTCTTAAGTCAAGACTTCTCCCTAATAAACAACCATCAAGCCATCAAGCACATCAAAAATGGCTTTGGAATTATGAGTCAGGCTAACAGGCTACAGTTTCTGGAAAAATGGTGATTTTTACCACAGCAGGTCTTAATTACAAAATTAAGTGACAGTGTTTGTTGTAGAGTCAGTCCATTTTGAGAATGTGTGATTCAAATAAATTACAAAAATAAAAATAAGTAGTTCCATCACGATTGCGTGCAACCTAACCTCAACTCCACAAGGGCACGTTTCTGCTTTTTCTCTGTGGTTTCTTCTAATCCTTCTACCTGATTATGACAGCATATTGACAAAATTGTGTTAAGAAATAACAAAAAAGAAAAAGAGTATCAGGGCTTAAAATACATAGGAAGAAAAGAATCAGTTAGCAGTGATTTTAAGAATAACAAAATCAATAAATGTCCTGAATCAGGGCTTGAGACAAGCATAATCCATATCCATTCATCTGTTTAACCATCTATTGTCTGTATCTGAATAAATTAGAACATAATATAGTAGAATAGAATACACATAAATAAAAAGTAACAAATGAACTACATTCTAATTGCTGTAATTAAGTTAAAAGATGTGCATAATTTGTGCCTATATTTTTTTAAGTTAACTTAATTTGTACAAAGCAAGTCTTTTCAGCTAAGAAACAGGTTTTGTTAAATATGTTAAATTTTAAAGGAATGAAGGTATAGAGAAGCTTTACTGTATGAATATCTGGTAAATGTGACATACATTTTCCTCACAAATGCATGTAGTACTGCTTTAATTTTTTGATGGGAACACTGCTGGTTATAAAATGGTTACTAGATATGGGAATGGACAAAAAATGTACTCAAGTAGCATTACTTCAACATATTTTTACTCAATTAAAAGGTTCTGAAGTACAAAGTATCTTTTTGATCCAAGCAAAAATTTAAAGCCTTACATAAAAAAAATGCAAATAAATAAATAACATGTTTATAAAATATCAAATTCAGGCAGAAGAAATGCTTTTCCAAATTATTTTTAATTTGGAAAAGGTACCTTGAGGAACCAATATACATGTTAGAGCAGCATATAAACTTTCAGTGACAATATCTGCTGAGCAGATAGAAAAAAAAAAACATTAAAACAATAAGGATTGTGTAAAAACAGCAAGCGTAAGTTTAACATAAACTGTTTGTGTCTGGTGCGTTTTTGGTTGAAACAAATTTGTTATTCATTCAGGTAAGTATCTCGTGGTTGGTACAGTAAACAGCCAAAGGTTTTGAATAAATATAGTGATACTTTATAATAAATATACTATACAATAATAATAACTTCTCATAAAAGAGAAGTTATATCAGTATAACTTCTCATAAAAGAACGTTTTCTTAAAAAAAAAAAAAAAAGCTACTCCATTAAATGTAACTGAGTAAATGTAACTAGTTACTCACCTTTGATGGTTTCTGTCATATAAGCTGCAGTTTAAATCCATATGTTCACATTTGTTAAACAATGTTCAACTGTTTTTGTTTTTGTTGTTATTTGTTCAACATATGTAGATATCTTGCCTACCATCTGGTGGGAAAGTTGGAATACAACCTCAACTTCGAAGGCCTTTGGGTCAATCAGCAGTCGACTTTCACAAGGCGTCACGAACTACGTCATCTTTGTGGGCCGAAGCTTAGCAGATGGGGTTCTCTTTTTCTCCTTTCCCTCCTTCCATCATGTTGTAGCCTCATCATCTGCTTGGAGGCAATAATACATACCGTCTAATGAAAGCTCGTGTATGTTCTGGTGGGGGGGATTTGCCATCCGAAACCGATCGGTTCCGTCTGCACGCTATAGGTAATGAACGACGAGACAGAACCGGAGAGCTGGAAGAGAAACTCCGGGAGCTCCAGGTGAGGATGATCAGAGCCGCAGGGAGAGTTGAGCATCCAGGCTCACAGTTAAACGACATCATTTTATTATAGGATCTTCAGAATATTTTGATTTCATGTATGTTTGTTTGTTTGTTTGTTTGTTTGTTTTTCTAAACAGATCTGTTTATTTCATTACAAGTTAACTTAATTAACAGGCGATATCTTGGATTTAAGCATTCATGTTTTATGTGACAAACAAACACAAAGTAGCACTTTATTATGAAGTGGAAAGAACAAAAATCATAAAGATGTGTCATGCATTTCTATTTCGCCCCCTTTAATTAGATTCTTTTGAAAAGGGGTCTACAACCTGCTTCTCTGGAGCCTCTATTGGCTCCTCGAACTTTCCACTACGCCTCCTCAATAATTTGGCTAAAAATGATAAAAGAGCCATCTGTTTTTTTTATATATATATATATATATATATATATATATATATATAGGCTAGTTTTAGCTTTTTTATAGAATAAATGCATTGACATTAAAAGTAGCAGTAACATTGATTTAAATCTTTTTCTTGTCATCAGGTTGGAAACATGCTTTCTTTTTTATAATTTTCCACTAAAGTCAACATCCTGTAGAATAAATATGAAACTCTGCAAAAGATCTGTTTTTTCCATTTTAAAACCTTAACTAAATAAATAAAATTGTTACTAATTGAGAATGGCCACATTTCCTTTACTACATATTTTGTCAAAAAGAATATTTTTATTTATATAGCATTTTTCAGCAACAAGGCAGTTCAACTGTGGCTCTGTGAGAAGAGTAGTTGTCTTGTGATCAGAAGGTTGTAGGTTCAATTCCAGCTTCCTCCTCCACATGTCAATGTGCCTACCAATCTGCATATTGGTATATGACTGTGTGAATATGACTCTAGTGTAAAGTGCTTTCAGTGGTAAAAATGATTGGAAGAAGGGCTATATAAGTTCAGTCCATTTACCATTCAAAGTGCCTTCAGTTGAAAGTGTTCAAAATATAAGTTGTGCTTTTCTAACAGGGTGATTTATTATTTATTTTAAATGAGGGAGTCAGTTGAAATTTGGGCTCTCAGCCATTTAGTGGTGACCCCAAGATTTTTGTTGGAACAAACAGTAGCCTGTCTTACTGATCCTTCTCACTGTTGACAGGATGAATTTAAGTCCTCATCCAGTGGCAAGTATCTTACAAAAGGGTGATTGATAGTAATTAGAAGTTCCTGGGAATCCTGATCAACTTCAATCACTAAGAAAAATCTCCTCTCCTTGTACAAAAAAAACTAATTTTATGCTTCTGCTCAAAAACACCTATGTGTGCATTCATACTTGCTCACATATGCAGGTGAGCGCTAAAAGGAAACATTAGCAAAGTGATTAATATTTCTTTAACAGTAATATGAAACCTGTATGTTTTGTATTACTGTCAATTTCAGGATTTAGCTATTTTTACAGATTTGTTCTTATTGTGACAAGCTTATTTCTCCAACATGTCCTTCTATTGTTTCTATTGTTATTACCATCCTGGGAATGTTTTTCTTTCTCTAAATCCCCTTAAGTCTTTCAAATTGCCCACAACTCAATGTCTTTATCACCATAGTTTCTATGATAAGCATCCATTTTGAAAGCTCAGTAAAACAATACTTAATTTCCTTCTTAATTATGTTCCAAAACTGTGTCAAGAAACAACAGCATGACTTTTTTTTTTTTGTTATTCTACTGTATTTTGTCTTAAATGATTGTTTCAGGATGCTGCATCCGCCTGTTGGATCTAAGTGTGAAGAGTGAATATTTGTGCAGGGAATGCTGATTTAATTTGCAATGAACTTAGATTTACTTTACTTTTAATTAAATGTAAACAGATAGAAATGCTTGTAAAAGGCAGCATATGGTAAAATTAAACTTTATTTGCTAGATCTTACTGTGCTATTATTTTTAATGTGTGCACAACATGTTGACTGGCATTTTCTTGCTTCTTTTAGAAACATCAAAAACAAGCTTTTTTTTTTCATCTTGACTGTTGCTGGAATCAATTTGCAACTTTACGAGATGGTAGTTTAGACTTTTATGTACAAAAAAAAATCAAAACAAAAAGTGCTTCCATTACTCTCGACATCATGCAGAGTAAAATGTGTTCTTTGTTCTTGTTGTTTGTAGTATTGAGCAAATGCTGGCTGTGAATCCCGGAAAGACGCCCATCAGTCTGCTGCAGGAGTATGGAACGCGGATAGGCAAAACCCCAGTGTACGACCTGCTGAAGGCCGAGGGACAGGCCCATCAGCCCAACTTCACATTCCGCGTCTCTGTTGGAGAGATCAGCTGCACCGGCCAAGGGCCCAGCAAGAAAGCAGCCAAGCACAAAGCAGCCGAGGCTGCTCTGAAGATGCTCAAGGGAGGCCTCGGAGGCCCAGTTGGAGTCGCTCTTGGAGAAGACGGTTTTACTGAAGTTGATGTGCCTGTGGATGGAGACAGGTCAGACTTCTGAGTAATTTATGCAGACAAATGTTAATTCAGCGTAAATATTTTCACTTGCAAGCCAACCTAAGTGACAGCTTAGCGTTTAGCAGATGGAAGATAATGGTTTGTGTGGTTTGAGTGTTTCCTTCTTTGTTTTGTGTAGCTCTCAGTCAGAGATGAAGACTTCAAATAGTTCCCAGCAGTCTGAATGTAACCCTGTAGGAGCCCTGCAGGTAACAAATCTTTGTCTGCTATACAGTTGTATCGCAATAAATGACAATATCATTGTAAAGTTAATCTACATCAGTAACTTATGTAGATTTCTTATACACATAATGATGATTAAATTAGATTTTTATGGTTTGCACCTAATAAAACCCAAAATTTACATGTTACATCATGTCTATTCATTAAAAAAGTGTCATGTTTTGATCCACAAAATCATATGAAAGACATATGAATTGACAGGCAGAATGTCACAAAAGGTCAAAGAAGTTGCTCATCCAGAGTGTTGTATCTAAACAAAATCATTGAAAGTTGAGTGAAAGGAAAAAAGATTAAAATTGCACTGCAGAACTAGGCTTCACAATGTATACAAATTTATTATCACTGCACACAAAATGCATTTGGAAAAGAACTGCTTGAACTACAATAAATATCAGTTAAGTATTTAATGCCAGGCATTCTAGCTCTTTATACGAGTAATATTTTTGGTGAAACTTATTTATTACAAAATTAAAACATTTTAGAATGTAAATAAATGGTAAAGAGCAGACAATAGACAGAAACATTTGCAATAAAACCTTGTAAAATCCAGGTTTTTCTATCACACGTTTTTCCTCTGCTTAACTTTCTAGTCATGTACTTGAATATAGTGCTCTGTGAACAGCAAGGACCTTGTGAAGGAACTCAATTATTGTGATTGGTTAAGTTACAACATGACCATAAGATTTTAGTAGTAAGCATCCTGGTAGTTTTGGTTTGATGTAATATTCTATCTAAAAAAAAGACGGTGTGTGTAATGAATCTATATAATATACTAGTTTAACTTTTGAAATGTATAACTGAACTAAATTAACCAAATTAACTTTTGTTCTACTTTATTGCGATGCATCTTTTTGGTTACATTTTGTGTATTTATATTTTTTATTTTTGGTGTTAATTTCTGTCAGGAGTTGGTGGTGCAGAAAGGATGGCGTTTGCCAGAGTACACAGTCACTCAGGAGTCTGGTCCAGCTCATCGCAAGGAGTTCACTATGACCTGCAGAGTCGAGAGATTTGTAGAAATCGGTACATTTAAAAATGTTTGACTTATAGAATACATACTTCATGTGTTTGCTTCTGTCTCGCAAATGTGTGTTTTCTTTTTGATTTTATGTCCCACTGGATGACTAATCTGTTTTTGTTTTTTTTCTGCTCAGGAAGCGGCACATCTAAGAAACTCGCCAAGAGAAATGCTGCCGCCAAGATGCTTTCACGGATACACAACGTGCCGGTGGATCTGAGGAGTAGCAATGACGCAGAAACAGAGGAGGACACATTTAATATTGTAAGATTCAAACAGGCGTTACGAAAATTAATAAAGATCAGAAAAAGTGATAAAGCATCAGCGTAGGAAAAGATGGCTGTTGAGGTAGAAAATGCTATACTGTAACAAGTATAATTAGTATTTTGGTCAGGAAATTTAATGTCTGCTAACTGATGTTGAATCTATGTCTCCTGTAATTAAAGCACATGGGAAGCAGGACGGAATCGGGTAAAAGTAAAGGCTACAGCTGCACGTGGGACTCCCTGCGCAACTCTGCTGGAGAGAAGATCCTGCAGCTCCGCAGCCACCCTCTGGGCATGCCTTCGGACTCCAACTTCTGTTCCCTGCTGAGCGACCTTTCTGCAGAGCAGCGCTTCGACGTCAGCTACCTTGATCTAGGTGAACTCATGAACTCTGAGACAGAGCTCCAATACCACTTCAGTTTGCTGCAGTCTGGCCACACCATATATATGCTTCAGCTGAGCTTCTAATGAACCTGAGTTATGACTAATTGTTGCAAAAATATTTATACATCTCAATTTTGGGGGGAGCATTTTGCCACATTACAACCACCTGAATGTGTTTTATTTAACTTTTAGGGGGGGAAATTAACAGCATGTAGTGCATAGCTGTGATATGGAAGGAAAACTGTATCTTTAATTTTATCTAAGGATAAATACAGCTGTTCTGTGAAGTCCTTAGGAGTTTATTTGAGAACAAACGGCAACATGAAGACGACTAAAACATATTCGGGATTAAGTTCTAGATAGGTTTAAAGCAGACTCGGGATATAAAACAACATCCTGTTCAATCCATCATCTGAAAATGGAAAGAGTTTTGCACAACTGCAAACATACAAAGACTTTCTGTCCACCTATGATGACAGGTAGGGGGAAATGTGTGTTAGGAAAGCTAAGACACAGTTTCCATTGTGAAATTCCATATTAGTTGCAACATCATGCTGTGGAGGAAGCTGCTCAGAGTTGTTAGGGAGTTTAATATTGCCAGATGTCCTGGAAGAAAACCCATCGAAGGGTGCAAAATACTTAAGACTAGCAGAGAGGTTCACCTTCCACTGTGATAACGACCTGAAACGTAGATTTAGATTGGCCTGGTCAAAGGTCAAACCAAAGTCCAGTTGAGAATTTGTTGCAAAACAAGGAACAACAATTCTGACGTCTTGTCACAAAGAAAGGGCAAAAGTATCAGTCTCCAGATGTGCAAAGCATATTACAAGAAAATAATAATAATTTAGGGCAAAATTGAACAGGCGGATATTGACTTATATTATATTATGACTCCAAAGGCTTTTGGTTTTGTTTCCTGCAGAACCCATAAAACACATTAGGTTTCCATTTACCTTTAAAAAGTTTGTCCTCTTTCCTGTAGCTATCCTGATTGCTTTGACTGAAAACTATGAAAATCAATGCAAAATACTTTCTATTTTAAGTGATATTATGCAAACGCCTATATCTGATGCAACAGTGGGACGAAGGTTGTAACCTAGTTCTGTTTGCAAATGTATCCGCTCAGACTGTCTAATGGAAAACAACAGTTAGTTAGCCATAACAGAAAAGAAGCAGTAATAATGTGTTCCTGTCCTGTGTTTCTGTTTTCAGAGGAGCGCAGCCTCAGCGGCCTCTGTCAGTGTTTGGTGGAGCTGTCAACGCAGCCAATCACAGTGTGCCATGGCTTCGCTCAGAACGTAGACGCTGCTCGAGCCAACGCGGCTCACAACGCACTGCAGTACCTGAAAATTATGGCAGGAGGGAAATGACACGCCTTCTCCGTTTCCTAGCCACAGACTCGACCTCACCAGTACACAATATGCCATCAAACATCTCCTCTTTGGACGAAGGAGGTATTTTTGTGACATATTTAGAAAACAAAAACAAGGAAACCTCAGATTTGACAATGAGAGACTTTTTCTGCCCTGATATTTACACATGGAGTCATTGTTTTTATTTTTTTATTGATTAATAGTGCCACTATTCATATTGCTGTCTAAAATTTCTAAACATTATGTACAATTTTGTCATAAATTGTTTTAAAAAAAAACTTTTCCCCCTTTTTTAAACTTTTGACTTCATGTAATCCAATATATTTTCCTAAATATGACCAATAAATACATACATCTCAGAAACTTTAAATGTTGCTGTATCAGAGTAGGCAATGTTTTGCAGCAAAATATAATTTGTTTTAGGCTATTTGACTAGCTAGATATAGAGTTAACTATTTATTAGTCCCAGAATGAAATCCATGTGAATGGATATGTGAAAGAAACTCCCACTCTGTCGAGAAATTGAATTATGTTAGCTGCTATCCCTTAAAAATGAGCTTCCACGAGTCTTAAAAAAATAAGACTCAAGTGACTGTTTGTTGCTGTCATTTTCTACATATTCAAGACTGAAAACTGTAAAAAAAAAACTCTACACATTTATTGGCACTATTGGTGAAGCTGTGTTAAATGCCTTAAAACGTCATCACTGCATTTTTAAAAACTTTTTTTTTTTTTTTAAATCCAGCTTTCATGTTTTTTTAATCAGTGAGTGGGAAAAAAAGTATTTGGAAAATAAATCATTTGCAGCAACATCACTATAAATATGAAATAATCTTTGTATTGTTATTTATACAGAAATTAATAATAATAATGGATTACTAAACAGTAGGGATGCTCCGATCAGGTTTGTTGCTGCCGATTCCGATACTGATCACCTGGATTGACTGTTAACTTTTTGCTTTAGGTATAAATGCTACTATGAGATCTGACAAAATTAAAAAATGATCTGGCAATAAATTCACCTAATTTAGGCATAAAACATGCAAAATACTTGTAGGTATAATACACCAGATATTCAGTCAAAGGACAACTGAAAAACCTGCAATCAGTAAAATAATATTTAATAGTCTCAGTACCATAAATTATACATGAGTCAAATAAAGCTGCCTATATCGAATAAGTAAAAAAGGAAACATTCACTCAAAGTCAAACGCAGGTTGCATCAAAATAAACAATCCTTCCTGATAGCCTAGCTAGCTGATTAATGCTGGTTCTGATTGGTTGTTTCTGACCGAGCGGAGTAATTCTGCAGAACACAGGAGGAGGCAGAGGAGATCGATTATTTTTTCAGAGATTATCTGTCTTGTGTTAGGACAGCGAAAGCTTTAACACATATCTAAAATTGTTTCTTTTTTTTTTAAGTTACGTTCTCCAGCTTTAAGCAGAGGTTCGGTGTGAGAGTTCACTGCAGATGGAGCAGAAACGTCTGTGAAATATCACTACCAGTAGCGCGTAGCGGCGGTTCAACAACGAGAACAGAACCAGCATCTTACACCGCCAGCTCGAAGACTTAAATTATTTTTCAGGTTATTTGGTTAGCTTTCAGACCGTGATGCTAATTCGGGTGAGTGCGTTGAGCCTCGATGTAGTAAACTCCGTCAAGTGCTTGTTTTATAAATGTCGCGTTAGATTCGTTGTGTTGATGGATTTTGACGTGCTTCACTCCCGAGGTAATTTTCCACGCAACACGCAAATTTCCTCGTTCACTCTCAGAGCGTTATAGTTCCACACCTCATTGCTTAGGATTTACTGCTGCGCGCTTGCGCAGTGTGAAGGAAAGAGGAGATCGGCTGCACACGCAGGCTGCAAATGAGATACAGGTGATCGGCAACAAGAGACCTTGATCGACGATCACCGATCATACACTTTTTCACGGAAATCGGCCGATTATGATCGGTGACAGATCGATCGGCACACCTCTCCTAAACAGTTTATATAAATGTTCAGTAATCCATGATGTCCTTTTTTCTGGGGTACAAAATGTGACATTTCTATAAGCCACGCTTCAAAATGGAAAAAGCAATAGCACATGCCCTTAAAGATGGACAAATCCGTTTTGATCTCTATAAATATGAGAATAACAATAAAACCTAGACCTGGCTATATTTACAGTGACAGTTATAATTAGCAGGTTTATGCTGGTAGAGGTAATGGAGGCGAAACAAATCCCTAATTTAAAGATGAATTTACTTTAAGGCTTTTTACACCTTCTTACCAGCTGCAAATCTGTTTTTCTTGACAAGTTTCAGAAGTATGAACTTCTCATGTTCCTATTAATAGTTTGTGAATTAGAAGCTTTATGTGTCCACAGCTGTTCTGAAGTACATCTACTCTTGAATTAAAGACTTATTATACAATGACTCAACTGTGAACACATCCTTGTTTAAAAAAAACAAACAGGTTTTTATGTAAAAAAAAAAGAAAATAAACAATCATAAATTATTTTAGTTACAATTCAAGCGCAACATTATTAGAGGAAAATGTAAATACCTAAGTGAATACCCATTTAAAGCACCTTTTGATTCAGTGTTCCACCAATTATAATAATCCTTTCATAAAGTTCTACATCCCAGAAAGACATTTTTGACATTACTTATTACTAACTTTCAGCCAATGCTACAGGTTCCAAAGGATTAAACAATCATTGTTTGAAGGTATCGGTCAGGAGTAGGTCTAAAGGAAAATCAAAGTTGTACAGGAAGGTTTTACAACAATTTATTAGGGTCTTGTTTTTACAGGGTGTGTCAGGTGAGAGCTGCTGTAATTGTAACAAAATACATCCACTCTTTCTCACAGACCCAGCACATAAATTATAGCGTTACCTCTAAAGCATTGTTAATGTAATGACCATCACTGACTTGTGTTTTGTTCAGCTCTTCTTGAACTTTGACTTGATTTGTGATTATCAGAAACTGTTGTGTCTCTGTGTAAAAGCTTTCTCCACTACTAAGAAATCCCTTCCTCTTCTACAGTATGTATTGACAAATAGTTTTAGCTATCTTCTGTTTCATGTGTTTGCCTACAAAATGCATGTGAGACATTTCTGTGGGTTGTAACCCTTCTCAGAAAAGGCAGATATGCAAACTGTTTTTTTGATCATTAAAGGAGGAAGTTATGAGCTGGTTTTATTCAACTGCAGTTGAAACTCACCATCTCTCTTTGCTGGCACTTTTATACATTATAAAAATGAAATGAAATACGATCTCTACTGGACGTCAATGTTTCTTCTTTTTTTTTTCCCCGATAAAACATTTTTTGTAAGAATTGAAGTTGTTTTTACCCTAATTAAAGTACCATTCCGTTACACTTCACTGTCTAAGTCTTTGCTCGTTTACACAGTTCTGTTTCACATAATCATGTTTTGTACGTTTTCTTTTTTGTCTGTAGCCTCTGAAACATTCACATTTTAAGAGTTCAAGCAAAGTCAATGTGGAGATCTGCTTTCCAACGGGAAAAGGTTTCCAGATCTTGTGGTACATTTTAGTCCTGCCTTTTTCTCTCCGTCACCTGCCATGTCTAACGACGGGCTGACTTCTTCGTCTGCGTAGCCACTGCTGTCTGACTGCACGCTGTCGCCCCGCACCACTTCACCTACACAAGCAGGAAAAAAAACAACACATTCAGCTCTTCTCCAAGTTCTGCGAACTATAGACAGTTTAGCAGCTGCAGTCTAACCTGAATTTGGCACAGAAAATGCATCGTTTTCTCCTTGAAGACACCTGCTCATTGACCTGAATATGCATGTGTCACTCATCATGCTCAGTACCTTGAAAAAGTATTCACTCCCCTTGAACGTGTATTGGAATCTTATGTGATAAACCAAGTAGTGGGTAGTAAAAAGGAAAATGACAACTGTTTGTTTTTATCTTAATAGTGTGGCATGTATTTATATGCAGCCCCCTGAGGCAACACTTTTTTTAGCAAGTACAGCTGCAAGGCTTTCCACAAACTTTGCACATGTAGAGGTGGAAGTTTTTTTATACGTTTCCCTGCAAATTAGCTGAAGTTTAGTTGGAATAGATGGAGACAGTCTGTGAGTCTCAGTTATTAAAACCTGCCACTGATTTGATCTTTAGACTTTGACTGTGCTGTTCTGACCTGTTATTTGATCAATTTCATGATAGTTCTGGCTGTTTTTGATGGTTACTGTCCTGCCAAAGATGAATCTGCAACCCAGTCTCAAATATTTTGCAGTATTACTCTCTATTTATTCAACTTCCTATCAACTCTGACCAAGTTCTCTTCTCCCCACAGCATGATATTCCTTTGTTAGTAGCATTTCAAGGTGATGTACAGTAGTTTTCCACCTCACATAGCATTTTGGATGCATCTGACCAAAGAACTAACCTTTACGATAGTTGTGATCCCTAGTTTCTGGTAAATTGCAGGATTTTTTTGGCCTTTCTTTCTTGACTCACTTCTGTAGAGGCTGGATTAGTGCTGTCCTCAATTAATAGTTGACTCTACTGAGAACAAGTGAATTTATTCTGAGATTAAAATCAGAATAAATCTGATTGCAGACTTTTAATCAAGTGACCCCTGAAGTAAATTGGTTAAGAAGGATGTTATTGAGGGGTATCAACCTACAGCCCTGGATTAGTTTCTTTCCACTTTACAATTATGCAGTTTTTATTTCCCTAAAACATAAAATTACCCTAACCCTACGTTAAAGTTTGTGGCTGCAATTTGACAAAAAGTTTAAGGGACGAGAATACTTTTCCAGTCACACAGCTGCTTTTACACAAGTTGTCAGAATCCATTAGCTGACCGCTGCTAATGACTATATGACACCCTAAAGTGAGCCATAAATGAAGTGTTGCTTTCTATCACTGAGAAAGAAGAAGCATAGAAATAAAACATGCAAACTCGTTTAACACGTGTGAGCTGATGACATCCTTCTCCTCACCCACTTATATGTATAGGCACCCTGTTGTTTGTGGACTAAAAAATAATCCCCTTCAGTGTGAACAAAGAAACTTTGGTTCATATAAAGTCTTTAAGCAAAAAGTCACACAAATAAATATGAGCATTTGTCACCTTTGCGTGAATGTTTTCTAGAGAGTGACGAAGTGACGGTACTCGCTTCTGGTTGTCCAAAATCTTCCTCTCCTGCGCTATGCACCTAAGAGGAGAGCAAATTAAAAATATTTAACCAAGATACACTTTGTTCTACCAAGGAAAGAAATGTGAGGAACTACAAACCAAGAGTTTTTGGTTTAGCTTATTTAAGAGCTTCATTTTAGCTTTTAGCTAAGCTAAACTGAAGCTTATTTACTGATTCAAAGTTTCATTTGACTTTTCTTTTTGTCCTCTTAGTCTATTGGTGTTCAGATTTTGCTAGTATCCCAACATACTGGCCCAGATGTGCAAAACAACATAAGCATTGCAGAGCACATATTTTCAAAATCAAATATCCTTGTAGAAATCACTAGATAGTTTCAAAAGAAAAAATACTGATAAATGCATAAACATAAATTACTTTGATTTTTCCAACTACAAATTACAAACTAGTAATGTTTTATCTGAAATGAAACATTACTAAATTGCTTAAAATGTAGATTTTAAATCATTGTAACATTTTCAGTAAAACTTTCCATGAGGGGTGACTATGCTAATAAATAGATTCAGGCTTATTTGTGATGGGTTACTGGCATTTCTCCCTTTGGCTATTTTGTACCTTTCTATCTTTGGAGCCATGTCCCTCTGGACATCATGTGCTCACTTTAGCAACTAGGGATTTGAAGTATTTTTTAATATTTAAATACTATGTGACTCTTTGAAATACTTTCTGCCAACAGGAGGTTGCTCAAAGTAACTTTGCTTTGATCAAGTGTCACAATCTGTCATATTTTAGAAAAGCGTTGCATTATTTTTTTTTCTCAAATAATAAATGAAAATACTTATTGCAAAGAAATTAGTTGATATGTCATAGACATGTTTATCAGAGTAAAACAGAATTGGATAAAATTAATATAAGCACAAAAATGGAAGTAGGACGTGACAAAGAGGTGAATTGATCCAGAGTCTTTTTCACAACTGTTTTAATTAAGTTCAAATTAGTTATTAATTATTAAGTATCTTCTTCAGTTAGTTCCCATGCAGTTTTTTTTTATAGTTTTCCTACAAGCACATTACATTTTCCTTTTTTTTTAATTTTTGTTATGTTTTGCTCCTATGGGCCTCCATGTTCCATGCCTGAATTGCACATAAACCAAAATGACTTAAAAAGTAAATGATGCAAAAAAATGTTGTACAACAACAACGAAGCAGTTTAAAATAGCTCCTCACAAAACAGCAATGGAACACGAGCGAGTGGCCAAAACTAAATATAAGCATGAAGTTCAGGAGGAAATTTCCATTTGTCATGCCAAAAATCTTTCACCCCTGATAATAATTATAGTTTACTTAGTTATTGATTGACTGATGATTGTGTAATTAATTTGTCTCACTCACTGAGTTAAGACTGATTGAAACTTCCTAAGTGCAGTTTAGATTCATCATCAAATCATATGCTAGATTTTTAAACCATTAAAAGTTTCTGTACCTCCTCCAGCTCGAATGAGTTGACCTGCTGACGATTGCTGGAGAATTTGCCCAGGCCTGGATGGGTTAACGGGTTCAGGTACTGTCCCTCTCCCTCATTACACAGCTCTGCAGGAGTCCGCTTGGATAAGCCAGGTGAAGCATGGCAGGAGTTCATGGAGGACGACGACGCGTCCTCGTCTTCAAAGCCCGTCACCGTGATGCAGCAGTGAGCGTTGCTGTCTCTAGGCTCGAGAACCAGAGGTGATCCAGATCCATCCACCTGTAGGCTCTTTCTATTAGATTCAGAATGTAAGTCTTCATTAGGCTTAGAGGTAGGGGTTTGCACTAGAGAGCTTAGTCTGTCTCTACTTTCTGTCCCAGAGATATGAAAGAAGCGGTTTTGGTTTTGACAACAGAAAGAAGCCTGATGTACACGCTCCACTATTGGAGGGCAGATTAGATCATATGAAACTTTGGCGGCAGGAGTCCTTGTGTCCCTTTGTGTCAAACATGAGTCCAGCTCTGACCGATTCGTGGCTAGCAGAGTTTCTGTTTCTATCACGGTTTCTCTTGACAAAGATGACTCTAGAGATGTTCTTTCACAATATTCTTGTCTGACATTATCAGCATTATCTGCCTCTTCGTTGTCAGGCGTCTCCTCCTTGCAAATGTCTGTGTCCTCTACAGTCTGCTTCACTTGCGCTGTATCTCCACCGTCTGATAGCAGCCTAAAATCCTCACAAGATCCACACCTGTCATGTTCCCCCAAATCCAGCTTCTTGGCACTCCCGGTCTTGAATTTCAGCATTACATCCACCACGTCAGGAAGGCTGGATCTCTTTCTGGGTGAGGGCTGTGGAGAGGTGGAGTCCGACCCGCGAGGAGAGCCGGTGTAGAGGCACATTTTGTTTACAGTGTCCTTCAGCCTCTCCACAGGAGAGCGAGGCTCGCTGCGAACACTGGTCCTAAACCGTTCAATCCTCTCCACAGGAGAGGAGAAGCTGAACTCTGGCGTGGCCAGCTTCTGGAGAGGAGTGCGGGACACGTGGGAGTAGAGGGAATAGAAAGCATTGGCCATGGCTGTAAGCACTTGCACTTGTCTGAAACGACCTGTAAGAAGAATAGAATGCAAATAAACAGATGCAAACCACTTTGCTTCTTCACACTTCTAGCAATGCAAGACCACTCCACTGACATATAGATAGAGAAATGTAACGAATCCATACTGGCAAGTGAAAGGCTGGGGTCCTCCTCTCTTATTCGCCGGATCTGGGCGTCCAGGAAGAGGCGGAAGTTGATGCCTTGAGCCTGAGAGGGGAAGGTGAAGAATCGAGGAGGGATGCGAACGGTGACCTGCGGTTCTTCGCAGCCAAAACCCAGTTCGTACAGAGTCTCCTCTGCATCCTCTGAACATATCTGCAGAACCTCTGACACACTGAAAGAAGACATACGTTCAGGCGCATCTCAATTATTTCATATCAAACAATTTATTTCAGAAATAAATGCATTTTAAAAGTGAAGCTCATACATGCTTTACACACAGATGTGTGCATTTATGGCTCTCAGAAAATTATAAAACTATATAGGACCACAAAAAGTGATGTTCTGATCCTCACAATTAGAGGGAGAAGTGCTGACGTGATCATTTTCCAATTCACTATGCAAAGCTGTTTAAAAAAAAATTCTATTCTCAGATTTTAAGCTATAGCTGAGAATTACTATACTGACTATATTATGTTTGTCGTTTATGTTATTTGAACATCTCTCATTGTTTTGTTGTGCTGTATAACTTTCTGTTTAAGTTACTGGTGACTTTCTACTTAAATGGTTTTGCTTCAATGTGTTATAGAAATAAAATTAACTTTGACTGTAAAAGTTAAGTGGCAGGAAAAAGAGTGACAGAATAAGTTCCACAAATAAAGGTGTGGTACAGTTAAGATACTGAACAATCTGCTTCTTTAGCAAAAACCTTAGCTGTATTAATATGGTTACTACATAAAAAGTCTGAATTAAACCAATTTCCAAACCTCACCTTGACACTGTTTTCCAAGTGGAGGAGGAAAGGCAGCTGGAGGCCATGCTGTGGCCCAGGTTGAGTGACGGTGGGCATAGTTTCTGGAGAGGAGTACTAAAAAAAAAAAAAAGCATGTGAAATGTTACAATACCTAAAACTTTTTAAAGTGGTCAGATATCAAGCGACTCACTCACTCCTTTCCAGGGGGAGAAATGCCAAAAAAAAGTTTGATTTTGAGTTTGAGATGCAAGTAAACAACAAACCTGCTGCTGACCCTGCTGAGCTGTTTTGTGAAGGAACGATTTCTGGACAGGCATTATGGAGAACAATAAATAAAAAGAAAAAAAAACAAAGAAAAATAGTTCAGCAAAGTTTCTCGAGACATTTTTTGCAAATTCAGAAATTCAAATAGTTTTGGTACAACATTTCCAGAAATTTTACAGTAACTTCCAGGTAAGCTACAGCAAAGAAATAGCTTCAGGGTGTGAATGTGTGAAACATGTATTTTTACCAGGACTTTAATTATTTTGCAAAAATAAAAAAACTATATTAGTTATGCGAGATATGTAGAAAACAGTTGAACCAGTGGAAAGTTTCTACTTACCGACAGTTAGTTGTAGTTCCTCCAAAGTTTATAACTGAGGCTGAGGAAAAAAATATGAAGCATTAATTATTGCTGATGACAATAAGAACTACTTTATGTGACAATAAAGAAATTAGCAATTTAGCATCTGTAATATGAATTTAACAGAATGAATCTGAAGAGAAAACATCTATTTTATTACTTCATTTTAAGATTTAAATGTTGCTTGGATAACCATTCGTTTTCTGGGTTGTTTTCCATCCAGTCGAGAACTGCAGCTGTTTTTTATTTTTACAATCTACAAAAATGCGGCAACTTCACTGCTTATCTTTGCGGCTTAGTTCTAGTTTAGCGTAAATGTTAAATTATCTCTCTGAAATGATCATTGCATAATACCTAGATTGCAACGACACGAAATATTCCAACAAGATAAGGAGGTAAAAAAAAATACTTGAGACAAGCTTTTCTTTTTCACATGTGAAAAGTCCTGCCTACTGATCCATGAGCGGAGTTTAAAAATAACCATAACCAAACAATACCCGATTTGCTTATTTAAAACTTTTGCCGACTCATTACTTCCCCTTACTTGTCCGTGTGTGCAAATTTAGGTTGAAGCCATATTTCAGATAATCAAATTAGATAGAGATCATCATGAATATTGCCCTTTGAGGACATAGAAACCATTTTGTGGCGTGAGTGTTTGCGTGTTTGAGTTCATGTCTGGTCATACCATCAGCTCCAAGGCTCAGGTCGTCACAAAAGGTGTTGGCTTGCAGTGCAGACTCTTAAAAAAAATCACATATGGAAATGTTACACTTTAAACATGTTACATTTTAAATTAGACACTGTGCAAATTATGCAGACGATAAATTAAGGTTTTTAAACACATATTTAAAGCTTCTGCATTTATTTATTTATTTCAACCTCACCAGTTGAAACAGGTTTTAGCTTATCGCAATAAGCATGATACAGAAAACGCTAAATAACCCAGTTTGAGATGCAATTCCCTCAATATGATGAATAAGGAAAATCAGCAGACATCTAACCAAACTTTTTCTGGATATTATCAAGTAATAGAGCTTTGATTTCATTATACAACATTTTTAATTGCGGAAGCTAAAGGTGTTTCTAGGTAAAATCCCCACATGAAAATAAGAAATATGAAGCGTTGTACTGAACGCCATACATTTGAATTGATTCTGCTCTTTTTTCAACATTTTCTCAAGCAGCCTAATGGTAAGGTGTTCATGGTAGGGTGTGTGTGTGTGTCTCACCGAAACTTAGCTGCCTGCTGTTCTCCAAGCGGACATCAGATCTGCAAGACACAGACGCCCAAACACAATCAAGTCATTTGCATGCTTCTATCAAACATGGTGCTGCGTTTGCATCTCTGGTTTCATGTGAAAAAGGATAGCAGGCAAGGTCACAGTGAAAGTTTGTTCCACTCTTCATAATCAGCATTCTGCTGAAGTCTTGCAACTTCCTCTTGTAGAGAAATATTAACATTCAGGTTAACGCCAAGCAAATCTATTCATTTTCATTTTCACTTCTGAGAATACATTCAGGCACCAGCCATTCCTCTAAATGCTCTCAGCAGGGGAGTAAAAGCCCATTTAGATGGTAATTTACTGTCCTCTGGGGTGTTTCTGCATTCCACAAGTGCTTCTCTCTCAGTGACTGACACTAAACCATAAAGTATTGCTTCTTGTTTCTACAGTCTGTTTCATAAAAAAAAAAAGGAAGAAACTGTTATTTCCTATACCTCAAGGTAATTTCAGATGTGTCAAAGAGCTGAAGCTTTACTCATGAGTTATTTTTGTACTGGGAACTTTTACACCTTTTAAATCATGACACCCCTGGTGAAACAGCTAAAAAGGAAAAAAAAAAAAAAAAGAATCTAACTCAAGAGAAGGTCACCTCAGCGATTTCAGTTTGTGGTTGATTGAAAGCTTATTTTTATTTTTCTCTTTTTCCAGTGGAACTATAAGAATGCAGCACCTCAGGCTACTGCAGCAGAAAAAAACTTCTGTGGTAACCTCACAACATCACCTTGCTGCACCACCTGACTTCAGAGAGAGTTTCCACTCTCGCTGCACTCTGTTGTCTGCTGTAGTTTCCATTGATATACATCTTACCAGCTGGAAAATGTGAAAGTCAGCAGTTATGAACTTATTAAAAAAAAACAAAAAAACAAAAACAGGTTAACTCACCCACAACCAAGGAGCCAGTTCTCAATCTTTCCATTGAAGCTGGCTGTGAAAATGACACATATGAGTACTCTTATTAAGTAAACATGTTCCTCATTGACAGCTCTGTTCACAGTGAACTAATTTGTTTTTCCATCTAGAAAAGTTAAAAACTGATCAAATTAAATACAGTGGGTAAAGCACTTAAAGAGTCGTGTTTGCCCTCACCATCAGAAAAGACATCATCGTCATCTGCTATGGAGGCCGAGGATGCGAGGTTACACAGCGGACCCTCCAGGTCCTCCACTGTCGGCCATTGCCGGCTGCTGTTGATCCAGGCTCGCCGCCTGACGGTGGACGATGACCTATCCATCACTTCAATTCATAAATGGCTGCAGGGCATGACGGGTTCAAAGCTCTGAAACAAAAGAAATTAAATGTAATTCAAGATTTTTATTGTTGTTTGATTTTTGAGCCTGATGACATTTTCAAGATATTTTAAGACTATTTCCAAAAGATATTTGAGAATCTGTTTTCATTTTTCTGTATGAGCAAACACATTCCCAGAAAAGCTGAGAAGATTGTCAAAACATGTTTCAATGTGTGACATGTTCATTTGTTTGAATCTTTATAGTCAAAGCCAAAGTGCAGATCAAATACAGACAAAACAGTTTTTTTTTTTGTTTTTGTTTTTTTTGCAGATACGGTTCATCTTAACTGCTTAGAATGACAAAATTGAGCATAAAACAAGAATCCACCGTATGTTTAGTATTTCCAAGTATGGACTGATTGTAGCTCACCTCATTGCTCCAACTCAGAAAAAAAAAAATCATAGATTCAAAAAGAATTTTACATATCAAATTTACCAAAAATGTGTCTTTCACCATCTAAAGAGCAAATGAAGTCTTCAAGACATGAAGTCACAGCTGCACGAGAATTTTTGGCAACAAAGATTCAGTAGCAACTAAGACAAACTTTATTATTAAAAACTGTCCAACTCTGTACCTAGAACTTACATTTGGAATTATATTTGGGAGTGAAGAAGGTAAATATATGACGAGGCTGACAAAGAAAAGCATTTTTATTCTGTGCAGAAAGTACCTAATGTTGTTTATTTTATATCTTTGCTTGTGTCTTACTAGTGAGACACAAGCAAGATTACTTTTCATAATTGTAATAATCAGTAAGCTTTATTGTGTTTCCAAAAGTACCAGCATATGTCGTGCTTTTCAGTTTTAGATGAAAGCGATTAGATCCTGTAATTGTGGCATCTTTTGAACTCACTTTTGCAAGTCTGGGAGAACATTAGCAGGTGATGTTCAGTGCAGATTATGTTACTGTGGCTTCTCTGACACACAGTGTACATTTGTTCTCCTGCCAATTTCCTGCTGTTCCGGTCAGTGGAGTCATCTGAAAACTGTTGCGAGTTGGAAAATCTGACCAGAAGAACTGGAAAATGCTGAGAAGTTAAAACCTGGAGTCTAGCAAGAATGGAGACAGATAGAGCTTGCAAAATAACACTTAATGTCTTAAGTTTCCAAATGCAAATGATGAAATTAAGGAAGCGTTGGAGTAAGTTACTTACTTACATTACTTTTTTAAAAATGTGTTTAAATATATAAACTTTCTTAACAAAAGTGAAGCTTGCCAGGGGAAATAATAAAAAACTATGTCTTTTGTGTTCGATTTAGCTTGGATTTGCATTTTCAAAAGCTTCCCCACCTTCTTAGCGGAAATGTGGCATGACTTGGCAGCCCGCACAACTGAAATCCTCTTCCACAGTGTTTGAATATGGATGTTGTGTTGTAAGATTTCAGAAAAAAATAGATCTGTTAAAAGATTGTACAGTGGTATGCCCCTATTAATATATATATATATATATATATATATATATATATATATATATATATATATATATATATATATATATATATAAACACAATGAAAGCATCTCTGCACCAAGCCAAAACTAGGGTAAAATAACAATATTGCAGATCAGGACAAACCATATACAAAATATGCACAAGTTGAAATAAAAATATTCCCATGAAGAGATCATGTTATCATAAACCTTATTTCTTCTCAAAATTGTACTAATTAGTCTCTTTCAAACTTAAGACAGTTCAAATTAAACCATAATAAAAAGAGGAATGTGCCTGAAAACAAAATGATTTCAGTCCAGGCAACATTGTACAGAAAATAATAATTTGACTTACTGTGTGGTTATATTGCAGTGCAGACTAGTGCAAGCATAGGAACCATTAATGATAAAAATCAGCACGACCGTAGATCATTTTCACCGAGGTCTATGGCAAACCTTAATAAAAGAACTTGAAGGATTTACCTTGATATAAATAGATATAGCCTATTCGACTTTCGGAAGGTGCTTTCTACATTTAATCAAGTGTGCAGATCAAATGTAAAAGTAGAAACATCTTCAAAATGCAACAAGTTGAGTTAAAATACATTTACTTTTCTACACTACTAAGCAGCGAGTAAACTTTCAAAAGAGACGAGAGTTTTTACCTTCATGCACGCTGCAGGTTTCAGTTCTGTAAGCGGCGCACTTGCTCTGGTTTCCTGTTGAACCGGACTCACTGAGGCAGACAGTATGAGCGCCTTCATCCGCCGTCTTTAAGCGGTCTGTTAAAATAGCCTCCGCTCAGCGCGCCTGCCTCTATCAGAGATGGGCCCAGAGATAAATAGCCGGGGTTTGAGCTGATTTCCAGCGAAGCCTGTCCCCTGCTCAGCGCGGACAGGTTGGATCATTGCTTGGCCGTGGCGCGTCTGAGGAAGTGACTTTGCATCTCATCTGACAGACTGAAGTTATCAGAGTGGCGTGGGACGCAGCTGCGGCACATCCTGCACGAAACAAGCGCTCACCCTGACAGGTTGCTGGAAATGTAACGCTGTTAGTACAACACGATGTTTTTTTTTTTTTTTTTTTTTTTATTGACTACTTTACAAATCAGGAAAATGTAAGCTTAGTTTCCGCAAAGTAACTGCATGGCATTGTTTTATTTTTATTTGGGGTTTTCCACATTACAATACATTTAGCGTCCTCTAAATAAACAATCCGTAAGTACGAAGAGCATTATGTCAGATTTAAACAATTGCCTGCGGTTAAAGTTACATATTTCCACTTTTGGTATGAGTAAGACCACAATGTATAACTTTGGTATGACCTTCCCGAAAGTGCAAAGTTTTTTTTTTTTTTTTTTTTTTTTCTCGCATGCAAAAATAGAGATTTTGTAAGGAAGTTTCTTGGTGAGTCAAGTACAAGCATATTTTAACCAAAAATGCATCAGACACACTTTTGTATGGAGAGACAAAGTTAGACTTTTTCTTTGTACACAAGTGTTGCTGTTCTAATATTTGTATCTGTTTAGCCTAAAGTGTCATTTAGAGGTCAAGTGGATATACAGCAGGCATTTGTGTAACGTTACAATATATTATATTACCTACTGTAAGTATTGGTTTTAAAAGCCTTTTTTTGTGAAAGAAAAGAATCTGTAAATGTATCTCTTCTGTCTGAATTTGTTATCTTACTTGAGTACTTTTTTTGGCTATTAATAAAAAGTCATTCAACTTAACTGAAGATGTTTTTATTCTAACAAAGCTTACACCATGAGTTAATCACATTTCAAACATTTTTTATGTGCATTTTATTGTTCTTTGCCCTGTAACACTTTAAATTCTTAATTATTATCTACAAGGCAGGGAAGCCTTTTAATTGATGCAAATAATTGATGACTTATGTTATAAATCCACTTGATGAATGCTTGTGGTTTGGTTCCTCTGTGCCTAACTGAGTCATGTCGGGTTCTCTAGAGAGCTTGCTGGCACTCCCCTGACATTCCCATGTTGCACTCTGTTCTTATAGTCTCTGCTACGTGGGTTGCTCCAGTGTTGTTTGCATTTCAGCCACAGCCTGCTAGTGGCTTCCTCTGCCTCCTTTCTGAGTGATTTTGGTCACAAGCTTTGATCTGCTTGAATTCTGACTCCATGTCGAGACAGAATACCCCAAAGAAGCCGTAATATTTTGACTGAAAATCCCCCTGCAGGCATTCATGGATGAGACTCTGCGCATCTCGAGTTTCTTTCTGACCTCCATCATGCTCTAGTTCAGTTGTGCATGTGCAATTAGAGCCACATTTTGTTGATCTGGATAACAAAACATTTGTACATTTTTCAGGGTAATTTTTCTTGAACTCAGTGGTGTTACCAACATGTATTTTTAAATTTATATTTGTACTTCAACATACTTCAAGAAAACATTTTATTTTTTTATTCTTTTTTCCCCAAACATAAAAGGACAGCTTGAACATAGTGTGCTGGAGAGTCTAAGACTTTTTACGCTGCAGCAGTGATTGAGATTCACAACTAATATCCAGACAGGGGTTGTTCAAAACTTGTGGCAAACCTAGAAACTAAGACTTACTGTATTATGGAATACAGCAAAACTATATGGGCTAATCTTTTGTGCCCACACTACTGAAAGAGTAGTGGGGTAAAAAGAATGAAACCGTTTTGGTGTATTAGAAAATATCTTGCTCATCACACATAACTTTAAATTCCTGTGTCACGTGAACACAGCAATCAGAGAATAAGTTTTCAGTGAGTAGAAGAGCCAGAATGTTTTTTTTATCTTGATGTGGGGAAAAAAATCTGAAAAACACAAGGTCAGAGGTCAACAATTGATTAGATTCAAAGTTGCTAAAGCTTGCAGATCGTTCCCTACGAGAAGTTAAAATCTTTACATATAATTTACAACTTATCTTTCCATTAAATATCCACTACTTTATCCTTGACCTCCCAAGTGTATTCATTGATATTTGTTCACTAAAGTTAACTAAAAAACCTATGAGGCCTTCAAAGAAAAGCTGCATTTACACAGAGATTAAATCCCACTCAAACTGACTTTGTTTAATGTGACTTCTACAGGCTATTGGTTGCATTTTATTTGGTGCTATCAGAGAAACAAGACCCTTTTTATTTGTAAGCAAAACTTTCAAAAACCTTTTTTTTTCCACTTTACAGTAATGCTCAAGAAGTGTGATATGAAAGTGTAAAATTCTGTGTATTTCATGTCATTTCATATAAATAATTAGATGTTACAATATGTCATCACTTTAGGCTGGGATATGTACAGATCATGGTATTGAATAAACTTCCTTTGCACTGATTAATGTATACTTTATTAGACTACATCCTGAATTGTTACAGTGTTAGAAATACTTCTGCAGTTTCAAATTGGTCAGGGTATAAGTATTTACAACCATTCTGTTATATGCAGCAGCCTGTAATGCCTCTGGGTGACTTCAGACAGACCGGGGTGGGTCCATCTTGGACTGAGGATTCACTCCACCCTCTGTTGTGTTTACATGGGCACATGTGCTGCTTCATTGACATCTCTCTCATAGTGATAAAAGCCCTCCCACCACAGGACAATGTTCCACTCCCAGTGCGGCTTCAGCCAGTGTGTGTGAGCACGATATGGGGGTTCATCTCCTCCTCAACGGGTGACTCCTCCCGCCACTTCACTGTTGAGCGACCCACCGGCCTCCGCTAGGGAGTGGCCAGCAGCCACGGAGGCAAGACTCAAACAGCCAGTCCGCCCTCCTTTTTCCCCACCTCCGTGTTCAAGGCTCCAGATGTGTCTCAGTAAAAAATATATTCTTTTGTATGATAAGATTGGCTTTCATCGAGAAAGGAACTTATCAGTATTTACTTAGATTATTTGCTGGCGACGCTGTTTATGGGAAAAACAGATAACCAAACGTCAATCATGTTCAGGAGCGCAACCTACCGTGCTTGATCCCGCCCAGTTAACTTCACGTTCCTTCATCTCATTGGTTGATTCGCTGGCATAGGCGGTTCCACGCTCTTCAATTCGGTATGAAATGTGTCATTTAAAAGGAAGTTAGAACGAGGTGCGCTTCTTTTATAATTAGTGATAGCTCAAGTAACTGGCTGCTCTTCATGTTCATCGGAAATTCATCAACTCTGGAGTCAACCTGATGGAAGAAACACAAACATCAATTAAAGGTAAAAAAAAAAAAAAAAAAAAAAAAAAAATTTTTGGGGGGTGTTTACAAATTTTTTTTCCCCCTTTTTACGCGTCCCATG